CCCACAATGCCATTAGTGAGGGGACTCCAGGATTTGAACCCAGTGACGATGAAGGAATGGCGATATCTTTCCAAGTCAGGATGTTGAGTGGCTTGGAGAGGAAATTAAAGGTTGTGGCATTCCCAAAAATCTGCTGCCCTTGTTTTCCAGATGGAAGTGAAAGTGGGTTTGGAAGGTGCAGTCTGAGCAGCTTTGTAAATTTGTACAGTTGATTTTGTAGTTAGTACGTGCTGCTGCTCCTGAGCGTTGATGGTGGAGGGAACGGATGCTTATTGATGTCGTGCCGATCCAGCGGACTGCTTTGTCCTGGACGGTATTGGAGCTTCTTGAGTGTTGAGGGGGCTTGACTCACAAAGGCAGGTAGGCAGTATTCCATCACACTCCTGACTTGTGCCTTGTAGATGGTGGACATAGCTTGAGGAGTCAGGAGATGAGTTACTTATCGCAGTATTCCGAGCCTCTGAGCTGCTCTTGCAGCCTCTGCATTTATGTGGTGAATCCGGTTGAGTTTCTGATCAACGATATCTCCCAGTTGATAGTGGGAGGTTCAGTGATGGTAATGTCCTTGAATGTCAAGGGGCATGGGAAGATTATCTCTTATTGGTGATGGTTGTAGATTGCAATTTGTGTGCTGTGACTGTTGCTGGCCACTTGTGAGCCTAAGCCTGGATTTTTTCCAGAAATTTTTGCATTTGGACATGGACCACTTCAGTATATGATGAGTCATGAATGGTGCTGACTATTGCACAATCATTGTCGAACATCCCCACTTCTCACCTTATGGAGTCATAGTCATAGACTCCTCCAGCACGGAGACAGTGCCTTCAGCCCAAACTGGTGCATGTCGACCAAAATGTCCATCCACGCTAAACTGATTTCCCTGCACTTGGCCCACATCCTTCTAAATCTTTCTTGTCCATGTATTCGTCAAAATGCCTTTTAAATGTTGTTAATGTACTCGCATCGACCACTTCTGTTGGTCACTCATTGCATGTGCATCCCCCACTCTGTGAAAAAAAAGTTGCCCCACAGGTTCCCGCGTATTCTTTCCCATCTTACCTTAAACTGATGCCCTCGAGGCCTTGATTGCCAAACCCTCGGAAAAAGACTGAGTGCATTCACCCTATCCATGCCTCATGATCTGATGCACTTATACAAGATACCCCCTCAGTCTCCAATGCTGTAAAGAGAAAATTCCTAGCCTGTCCAACTTCTCCCTATCACCGAGTCCTTTCAACATCCTTGTAAATTTCTTCTGCACTCTTTCCAGTTTAATATATCTTTCCTGTAGCAAGGTGACTAAAACTGAACAAAACTGACTCCAAGTGCAGCCTTTCCAGCGTCCTGTACAATTGCAACTCCTATACTCAGTGCACTGTCTGATGAAAGCCAGTGTGCCTAAATCCTCAGTCCACTTTCAGAGAATCATGCAGCTGATCTCCAAGGTCCCTCTGTTCCACTACACTGCTTAATGCCCGACAATTCACCGTGAAGCTCCTCCCTTGATTTGACTTTCAATACCTCACACGAATCGATAACAAACTCCATTTGCCATTTCTCAGCCCACTTCCCCAGCTGATGAAGATCCTGCTGCAATTTCTGATAACCTTCCTCACTCTCCACTATACCGCCTATTTTACCACACACTTGCTGATCATGCCTTGTACATTGTCATTCAAATCATCGATATAGATAACAAACATCAATGGCCCCAGAACTGAACCCTGAGACACACCACTAGTCACAGGCTTCCAGTCCGACCAGCATCAAAGAGCACAGAACATAGAACAGTACAGTACAGGCCCTTCGGCCCACGATGTTGTGCCGAACTTTTACCGTAAACCTAAGGTCTATCTCACCTCCACCCCTACCTTATACTCTCATCCATATGCCTATCTAACAGCTGCTTAAATGCCCCTAATGAGGCTGACTCCACTACCCTCTCCGGCAATGCACTCCACGCCCCTACCACTCTCTGAGTAAAGAACCTACATCTGACATCTCCCCTATATCTACCTCCACTCACTTTAAAACCAAGCCCCCTCGTAATAGCTACCGCCACCGTAGGCACTATTATCCTCGGCTTCCGACTATCAAGCCAATTGTGCATCAATGTTTCTCTCGCTCTGCGTTCTGGGAAACTCTGAGAGTCCTGTGTCACAGAGCTGCTCGGGACAAACCTTGACAAAAACCATTGAATTTTTCTCCAGATTTCTTTTATAAAGGCTCATTCCAGCAGGAGATGTGTAACAGTCACTTTCCCCCACCCCATAGCTGCTTTCAGCACAGGTTCTCAATCCCTCCCTACCAGGGGAGCTGCAGTGCCTCCCCAGTAATGGGAATGTCCTCCCCCTGCAGGTAGTGTCTCCTCTGCCTGGTCATGGTGATGGCCTCCTTTCTCCCAACATCCCTCAAGTTCTCGGGGGTGCCATGCCCGACAGTGAGCCACTCCATGAACATGATTGGCTGGTGAGTCTTTGGCAGGAGGAATGTAGGGGTCATGGAGATGGAAGACTGCGGGTGTCATTTCCGGTCCAGCCATTTCCAGTTCAGCCCCAGAATGCCCACAATCAGCTATCGAAGGGTCAGGCCTGGGTGATTACAGGATCAGGAATCACTCATGTGGAACCAGGCCCAGGTCAGGTGCAGAGGCCTGGGGATCCCACTCAGGACCGGGGCTCAGGAGCACAGAGATAAGGGTTACTATGCTTAACCAACATGATGCAGGGGGTTGGGCTCAGC